TTTTTCTTACTGTTAATTTGATAATCACTACCACCACAAAAATTATCATTTTCCTATATAAAAAAATACTTCAGTTAACACTGAAGGAAGGGTATAGGGAAAAGAAAAAAGAAAAAAAATACAATAAACTGAAATCATCCAAAGTCATTTTTGTGGGTATCAAAGTTATAGGAACAAAGCTTATAGAATCTAGAGGAGTCACAATTTAATGTTAAAAATTTTAAGACAATTTTTAGAATAGCAGTATATATGTCAAATAATACACTGGTAAATAGAATTACTATCTACAATTTCAGTTGACATAATTGGTAGCTATGAGTTGTGAGAAGAATTGAGAATCTAAAAATTGTTCTTAGACTGTCCTCTTCCTGAGAGGTCCTAGTAATAATTCTTAACTGCACCACTCGACTGCAGCTTTAAAAACACAAGGGGCAAAAATACACTTCCATAACTTTAACTAGGAAGAAGGCCTGGGTAATCCTTGTTCTCTCACCAACTGTTTATTTAATTCTTAATCTCCAGAAAGGTTCTCTGCGCATCAGGTTTCAGATTAAACGCTGATACAGGTGGCACCATTAAGAGACAAATCAACAATATGTACAATCTAGATAAAGAGGTTAAAATCTTCTGGACTCCCTCTTTCAGTCTGACAAACCCTATAAAATCTACATTTTAGTAGCCAGTGTTTCAGAGATCATAAGATTTCTTTTTGCATATGCCCTTGATGGCATTAATGAGAGGAGTGAAAAGCATATGCTGAAATGCCTGGGGGCAATTATAACAAAGGAAGAAATTACAGTTTATTAACATAATTCCAACACTCCCAGCATATTGCTTGCTCTAAATATTCCAAAAATAACATGCACTACACAACCAAATCCCTGTAACTAACATGCTTATAGGTTTTCAGAGGGTGATATTTACCAATTAAATATTGGTCAAAACAATAGCTAACATTTAGACATCTGCTTTCAAGAGAAGCATCCTTTCCACCTGCTTCTATAGGCCACAAAGATACACTCTAGTTAACATATTACTGACAGAATGATGAGAAAGCTCCTGTCAGATGCTGGCCAGCCGAGTGTTTGAGACAAAATGCATAGCCCCAGCTGACTAGTTAGAGAAAGTCTGGTGAAGTACAATTATAGAGGCATATGACAAGGCTTCATGCCTGACTGATTTGAGAACCAGTGACATGGCTTTAAACAGCAATCCTCCGAATCTATGGTCACAAAACAGCAATAAGTCAACTGATACACCCTTGTAATAACATGATTTATTCCTTTGCTTTGAATTCATGAGACACTGATACGATGTTCTGCTTGTCTACCAAGATTCACTTGGGGTTTAAACATCTAGGGCCTGCCTACAGCATGCATAAAATCAATGTTCTTGTTCAGTTTGACTAGAAACCTTTCCAGGTGTTCTAGACACAGATATTATGTTCTATACACACAATATATGTGTGTATAAGTCAACAGAATAAAAGCAAAAATGATTATGTTCCAATTCCTTAATCTCAAACATGCAAAGACATAATAGTAGGTTCTAACACAATACCACATTTTAAAATATGAAGGGGAACCCATAAAATTTTAAAATATAATAAAATTCTAGATATATTTACTTATATATCTTAAAACTAAATTTTTTACTTTAAAGTTTACCTTTACAAAAGTACAAGTTATAATTTTTTGGCTACAAACAGCACCTAATAAAGAAACTCTCAAACCAGCTGATTGCTACCAGAGAATGACCACTGAAATCTGCAGCAAGCTGTAAGGCTGACAGTATGATTCTATTATAACCATGAAAGCATCATGATGGCCAGAGAGTAAATAACTGAGACGAACACAATTCAAGCACTATGACTGTCAAGACACCTCAACTTACATGTGGTCTCCCAATAAATAAAATTTTTACTCTGTACTTTAAAAGTGAAAAATGTGTAAAACACAATTCCTTACATTAATAGTAAATACATTATAGGCTCTATGGTACATAAAAAATATAAGAAGAATGCAAAAAGCTTATGATCAACTATTCTTTCCTTTGATGTTTCAGAGATTTCACTAAACTCCTCTTAAGTAGTTTATTTCTAATTTATGTGATAATACTAATCCTTGATCTTAAGTGTTACTATGCATAGAATTTGGGGGTTACTACATTACTCTTCAATTGAAAAAAAATAGAATTTTGAGATTTTGATAATTCTAAAATATTGATATTCTTACTTTTCTCCAAAATTGAAAATATATTTTTCAGCATGTAAAATCATACACATTTAAAGGAGTAAGCATAGGGAAATGATACAGTAATGTCAAGGAATAGGTATTAGTCAGGGATGCGAGGAATTATTTCTTTCTTCTTATACATCTCAATGAGATGCTGAGAAATTCAGTCTGAATCCTTTTGTATTTTTATGTATTTCATTTTCTGCTATCTTTAACTCAGCATTAAATCAAAACCATTCTTCCCCTTTCCCCTCCTGAGATTCCTCATTTTTAAACATGTTTTCTTCAAGATTACAAAGTATATTTCTATAGAAATGTTGTTCTCAAGATTAAAAAAATTGTACAAACTGTCTTTGTACAGCCCAAGGAACTAATTCATATCAGTATTAATTTATGTAACAAGTATTGATTATGCATACACTATATGCCAGGCACTTGGGGAGGAAGAATTCAGTAAGCAAAGTCAAGTCCAAGCTCTCTTGGTCCTTAGATCCAACTGGATGAGACAGATAATAAACAAATGGACCAACAGCTAGCTCTTACATCATATGGTTATGGATATGTAGGGTAATGGATAAAGTGAGTCTGTGTGCAGGGTAGAGGGGGAGTTATAGGTTCTTTCTTACATAAAAGCTGGTGATAGAGGTAAGGTTACTCTAATGAGGTAGTATTTGAACAGAGATCTGAAGAAAGTGAGGGAGTGAGCTATGTGAATGAAGTATACATAATCTGCTCTATTTATGAAAACATTAGAAATAAATCTAAGTATATCCCTTTGAAAAACACTGAAGTTTTTGTTTTAATTTACATCTACTTCTTAGCGGCTGGGTAGCCTCTCTTTGACTCAGTTGTTTCATGTGTAAAGTAGAACTATTAATAATCTTGATATAGGGTTGCTATAAAGATCAAGGAAACACATACATAGTATATACGAAGTGCTTAGAATTGTATCTGCACAGAATAAATGTTAAATGGTTATTAGGAGTAATTTTTTAAGAGTCTATATCTGTAGTTTCGAGTAAAAATTAATATGACTATCCTTTATATTGGACTTAAAAAACAAATGGTTATCATAATGGCTTGGTATCATTCAGGGAGTTGTTTCCTATGCTCAAGGTCAACTTAAGATCAATTGTTTATGACGGTTCATGAAAACTCGATGGTGATGGCCCCTCTAAGTTACCAGCTCTGTTTTGGTTCACTCTCTGGGGCAGTTGAGCTGATAAAAAGAAACATAATTCAAGTTCTCTTTCATGATCTTCTTACCCTTCTTATGAGGGGGAGCTGCTTTACTTGAATCTATCTTTAATAATTCTTTTATATATAGTATATAAAAATATATCTGCTATAAATTCTATGCATAGTAACATTTAAGGTCAAGGACTGCTGCCCTAACATAAATCAGAAATAAACTATTTAAGAGGAGTTTAATGAAATCTCTGAAACATCAAAGGAAAGAATAGCTGCTTCTAAGCTTTTTACATTCTTATATGTTTTACATACCATAGTGACTATAATGTACTTGCTGTTAATGTAAGAAAGAAACTATGTTTTACACATCTTTCATTTTTAAAGTACCCAGTTAAAATTTAAATTATTGAAAGAAGACATATAAGTTAAAGTGTCTTAACATTCATAATGCTAGAATTTTGTTTGCTTGGTTATTTTCTCTTTGACAATTGCAATTTTTCATGATAACACCAGAATCATACTTGTTAACCTTACACGCTTGCTGTAAGTGTGAATCAGGAGTCCCAGTGTCTCATAACCCATCTCCAAGAAGCTGTTTGGCCTTGGAGGAGCTATTTAATGTCTCTAAAAATGTCTTTCTTACTGTTAAATACTAAACAGATGTCCTTGAGAAACCCTAAACTCCTTCTACTCTAAAATGATAAAATATTATGGAATGGGGTGTTTATTTCTACTATAGGAAAATAAAACATTTTATTAATTAAGCAAATTTATGAAGAAGCAAACTCATGCAATATTGAGCGACAGTTTTTAATAAAGACCTCGTAGATTGTTCAAAACTATAATTTGATTTGTATTAAAAATTACAAAGTTGAAAATATTAAATTCTTAATGCTTTAAAGAGAAAAAAAATTATGGTATCTAGCAAAATACTTTTGAATATCTTCCTATGACTAAAGAAAACTCCTTCTATTCTCAGTGCCTTCACCACAGTAATGAACACCTTCCAAAAGAACGTTTTAGTGAGTGCCATAAAACCTATAATTTATAAAAAAAAACGCTACTTTGACTTTTAAGTTATTATCAGTGTGAAGAGCTCCTCCAAATCAAACTATTATAGAATCTACTCCCAAACCACTACTTGGCAACAAAGATGAATCTACCTATTACCAGGTTAGGATAGCAGCTATTATCATGGGCCCTTGATTTCTTTCAAGTAGCTCCAATGGAAAAAGCCACAAGTGAATAATAAAGACCTCATAATAGCTCTTAAGAATTCTTTATATGGTAGAAGGCACTAAAATGAACTCTGGAGAGTTAAAAAGGAAAAAAAAAAAAAAAACTCTCATCTCCTGATAAGAAAAAATAATTAACCTGACTTAATGCATCTGAGAAGGCCTCCTATAAATCAGACTTTTGTACTTCAAGAGCCAGATTAAAACCATATATCAAAAAAGTATGTAGATATTGTCTTATAAGTAGACATGGCACACTTCTAAATCTGCAGAGGTTTTTAGGTCTTTTTGTGAAATACTCAATACACGCTTCTTAAAAGGGGAAGTGTGAAGTACTCACAGTGCTTAATTTGCTAGAGGTGATGACGATACGCCGTTCGTGCAGCATGCTGGCATACAGTTGCAGCATATTGTTCACATCCACAGCAACAAAGTACTCTGTGAGATTTCTCTGTACAAGTGAAAAATAATTGTGGAAGTTACAGCTCATCGGGAATTGGGAAAAAAAAAAACATGTTATATGCTTACCAGAAAGTCTTAAAGTTCAAAGGATATTATTAAAATGCTATTCATTACAAAATTAAACATAATATTAGTAAAAAAAAATTTAAAAAGATATTTGATCTATAGACTATCATCTAATATTGTTATGATAAATCAATCTTGCCCCAATTCCTATTGTGCCTTAAGGTATTAGCTGATGATAGTATCCAACCCTTACAGTCAACAGAACATTTAATATTCCCATGTCAAGCTCATCTCATTCTTCTCAGTATTTTATTTTGATGCTTTCTAATAATATACACAATGTTTCTTCATGAAAGCACATATTTTTAAAAAATGTACTATTTAAATGTAATAGTACTCTGCTACCACACAGAGAATGTAAAAATCTACCTTTTTTTTAGTTTTGAGACATAACCCTACTCTGGAAAAGTGTTTCTTGGAGGGTGATCAGAAGGATCATATAATTCTCACCTTCCCAGCCCCCACCTCCCTGAAGTACTTGAAAAGAAGCTAATCTCCTGATATACCCCAAGCAGGATATGCTGAGTTGTCATCTTCAGAGTAGGGCCCTAAAAATTCTGCTTTTTAAACAAATACTCCCAGTGACATTTCTACCCACTGATGCTTGAGAAACCACTGCCCTGGTACATACATTTGAATCTTTTCATGTTTGCCATTCATTATGCAGGCAAAATCATAATCTAATGCTACACATATGTACAAAGTACCCAAAGGATGAGATGGATTTATGAGGCAGCCGTTTGGTTTGTTATTAAGGAAAATCTCTGATTTATACCTCTGTCAGGCTTGCTTTATAGCAGTACAACCAAATGTAATCTGGTGATGTTCTGAATGAAGTCCTCAATTTAGCTCTTTAATTATTTCTCCACTTCAGAACAAAGTCAGGATATGCTACAATAACTTTGACTTTTAGATCCTCTCCTTCTCATTACTTATTATTTAACATTCTGATTAAACTTAACACATGAAAATGCAACAAATGAGTGAAGAGATTGAATAATACCTGATAATAAACTGAAATTGCATAGTATAAGGTCCTAGAAGGCTAAAACTTTTAGCTGGGAAAGAAAGCAAGAAATTCAATTGTTGCTTTGATTTCCAAAGACAGAAATTTCACCAGTGCAAACTGGTAATCATGAGAGAGCTTATCAATCTGGTGAATTTAGAGAAGAGAGGTTCATTTTTTATTTTCTCTATTTGAAGTTCATCTCACCTTCTAGTTCAATTCATCATATACAAAATTAATAGCATTCAATATTAATATTTTTCCTATAATCTTAAAGATACTTTTTAGATGGGGAGCTATTTCTCAACACAGAATGCTGCCTTATGCTTTAGATTTATTTCCCCCTAAATGGGTCCTTTTACAAAATAAAATGAGTTAATTGAGATGTAAATGTTTATCCTCCATGGCAGTTTATCCCTAGAATGCTTATTTCTTTAACACTATCAAAGCAATGAAATGGTCTTTTTAAAAATGTGACATTTGGTAAATCAAGTTATGATATGTTTATTAGTAAAAGTAAATGAAAGGTAAATAGGAAAGAGAATAGAAAGGAGTAGCTTTGAGTTTGCATTGGAAACTCTGAAGTAAAGGGACCAGGATCACAGCCTCAGCGTGTCAGTCAGCCTTAAGGAAAACGCAACAGGGAACAGCTGGCCCACAATGCACTTTAGCCAAGACTTCAGAGCCCATTATGTCACTTGAGGGCTCTGATGGTCTTTCTCAGGCCCTCCTTAAGAAGGACGTGATGCAAAGTCTTTCTATAGGGGTTATCTGAATTCATCTGTACTAAAAACACCACAGATTGTCTTGGTTTGATACCAGAAAATTTACAGTTGTCTCCATGGATTCCATTCAGCACCCATGCACTTTTGGAAACCAAACACTGAGTATATTATAAAACAGAAAATTCTGTTATTGGAAAAACAGAATTCTAAAGAAGATAAGAAGTATATCTGGAAAAACTATTTTGCTGTTGATCTTTCTTTCACCTTTGATTGAATTATTTCTACTGATTCACTTTAACAATCCAAGAGAAGCTGAAGAAAAACTATGTACAGGAATACTTCCCTTTCACGGAATCATCCAAAATCACAAAAGCATATTTGTTACTTGTACTTATTCATGTAATTTGTAATAATTACTGAAACAAGGAAAATATTCTTTGTATAGCTACAATGAAGACTCAAAATAAAATGCAAAATGTATCTATTTGCATAATTCCTTATAATATTCCTCAAGCCTAAGAAAATCTGTATTACTTTAAATTAAAATCAGGAAATCAAGTATGAGACAGCTGAGATTTGAACAGAATTATATACACAGAATCTAACATACTATGGTCATTTCATCAAAGTAATTATTTGTGTGAAGATAGTCTCATCACTAGTATTCTTCCTCACCAACAGAAGCCATCTCCTGAGATAGCTACTCTATCGGACACAAGGAGGCTCAGGACCTAACTGAATTTATATGATCCTTCCTAACTATTCAAAATGACAGAAATAAGTTTTCTCATATCATTGTCCTTAATTTCCCTTATTTACAACCATATATTAAGGGAGTAAAAGAGCAGATACATAAAGAAATAAAGAAAATAATACCATTATTACTTATTCTCCACAATTTCTCATATACACAGATAATTACAAAGTATCCTATTTTTCTATACAAGAATCCATAAACAGTGAGACCAAAGTAAATAAAATTCATAATGCAAGTAGAATAATTAAAGTAGAAAATAGAAAACTTACACTCTCAGGTATTGTTGGGAGTCCAGTTACATCAGGGGCAATGAAGTAGGAATGCTAATCAATATAAATAAACCACAGAAGAAAAAGAGTTAAAATGTGGGATGTTACAAATAGTTTGGGATAGAAATAAGAAAAAGTATCCTGACTCAATTAATAAAGGTCACAGAGTAACACTCAGCATTTGTTGAATTTGAGAGAATCTTAAATGAGTTAGCAGATTTATATGAAATTTAACAATAAATTTCTCATACAAAAAGTTAAGTGTTGGTTAAAAAATTTCACTTTAACATTGAATAGAATTGAAAAAAGAATCCTAGGAAAGTTTTAAGACAAAAAAATAGTACATTACTGAAAGGGTTTTTTTATATGTATATGTACATATAAATAAATATATTCTTAGTATAAATTTAGGTAGACTGGGAAAAGTATGAAACTAAAAAGGTTGAGTTTTTCATATATATAAAATACATAAATACATATATATTCTTAAAATACATTTAGTGTAGTTAGACTAGAAAAATAAACTTGCTAACCCAAGAATATTATCAAAATCTATCAAGATTCCTGAGTTTTTATGGTAAGTCACAACAAATTGTTTTTGTAAACATCAGCCACTATCCTAAGAATATAGCAATAGAACATAATTTTTAAATGTGTTAAACTTCTTTAGAATATATTTATCCCAAAGTATGACCTTCATACATCTGCTAAACAAATATTAATTAGCTCCAATAATGTTCAGGGCAGTGAAACAGCTCATCAGAATATTTATATAAAGAACATATTGTGTATATGCCTTCACATTCCCCACAGTGTTCCCAAATTTTACCACCTAGAATCAAAGTACAAACAATCATTGAAAAATGGTTTATTTTCTGTTCATATCCATCTCCAAAATTATTTTAACATGATAATCGCATAAAGACATATTTAATACTGTCTTACAATTAAAGGTTGGGAAAAAAACATTCTAGCCATATTTGAGTGCAGCTAGTCAGAAGTAGTCAGAACAAAGCCAGTTAACACAATCCTAATGTATGATTTTCCAGGGTAGAAAAACAACAGGAGATAAATGACAAGATCTTTTGATATAAAATATCACAGAAATCTCATTCTGGAATATACTTTAAAATTATTACTATGGAAAATAAAAAAGATGCATAAATTGGATTTCCATTAGCTACACTGATTTTGAAAGGTTTTTTTTTTTTTTTTGAGACAGAGCCTCAAGCTGTCCCCCTAGGTAGAGTGCCCTGGCATCACAGCTCACAGCAACCTCCAACTCCTGGGCTCAAGTGAGTCTCCTGCCTCCACCTCCGAAGTAGCTGGGACCACAGGCGCCTGCCACAACGCCCAGCTATTTTTTGGTTGCAGCCATCATTGTTGTTTTGCGGACCCGGGCTGGGGATTCGAACCCGCCACCTTGGGTGTATGTGGCTGGTGCCTTAGCTACTCGAGCCACAGGCGCCGAGCCATTGAAGGGATTTTAATAGTGCGTATTTCATAAATCTATGCTTTAAAAAAATAGTATAAACAGAAAATAATATTCCAAATGATTAATTTTCTTAAAAGAGTCAAATCGTCATTTCCCAAAGGACTGGAGTGAATCTTAAAGACTAGGGAAAGAAGTAATTATTTTTCTGATTTAATAGTGATTTTTTTGAAGCCAATATCCTTTAACTCACCGGTACTACATAGAGCTGATCTTTCACAACTTGTTCACTGGCAATAAATATTTCTTGGTTCTTATAACGTACGAGAGAAAAAAATGAATATTTTACTTTCACAAAGAAGCTTACACAACCAATTGCTGTGTATTTGAAACAAATCCATGTAGCCATTTTAGCTACTGAAAAATATTTGAATAACATTAATTATAAATGTTATTTTAAATGCTGATTTGCTAATTTTATGCTAGAAAAATACTAAAGGGAGTTTATTTTCATAATATGAGAATGGAGAATGCTGTGGCTATTGAAATGCAGTTTCTGAAAAACTACTTATACTAGACATTTATTTTTCATAAAATATCAGATATTCTAGTGATTACTATCCACTAATTGTTGATGGAACAAAAACTTCCATGATCAATTTTAACCTGGCATCATAAAACTAAAACTTCTACTAGTAGTTAAAAAAACAGGCATTCTAGTCTCAAATTTCCCTCTTATTAACAGCGTAATTATAGGCTTTTAGTAGTCTGTTTTTGACATCAAATGAAATTGTTAATAAATTTTACAAAAAGATAACTAATCCATTTTACTAATATACTAATACTTAAGATACTGCAGCTTAAAAATAGGTATACAAGATTTGAAAACTGTCACAGACTATTAATTCAAAAGTATATTAAAAAGGTTAATTATAAAAATAACATATGTAAAAATAGAACACAGTCACTCAAATACTTTTAACAAGATTATTTCAGTTACAATGAAAAATATCTTCTCCATATAAGAAGAAACTTCATCTGAAATTCAACGAATACCTGAATAGGTGGTATATCAAGACTATTACAGAATATTGAGATACTACTATTTTATATAACTACCTAAACAATTTTCTCAAAAGGTGACACACTCTATGAAAAAAAAGGATTATCAAAAGAGATTACCTTTCTTACCTAACATCACACTTTTAGTAGCTGTGACTTTTAAACCAAAATCTTCCAGCCTTAGGTAAAGAGGTCTACAAATCTCTTTGTGATTCTTGTTAATAAAGGTAAAGTGTTTCTACATCCAATATTTTCAAGATATATCTTTGAAGATATATCATTTGTACCTAAGCAAATATAGGTGTGATACTCAAATTTAGAAAGAACACATCTGTCTTTCTCTTTATCTTCATTATCTCAGCACCTATATTATCCTGAACTCTTTAACAAAGCATTATAATCACTTTATAAACATAATGCTTTCAAAGAAATATGTCTTTAAAAAAAACCCGGGAGGATGGAGGGAGGGTAATTGGTGGGACCACACCTACAGTACATCTTACAAGGGTACATGTGAAACTTACTAAATGTAGAATATAAATGTTTTAACACAATAACTAAGAAAATGACATGAAGGCTATGTTAACCAGTTTGATGAAAATATTTCAAATTGTATATAAAACCAGCACATTGTACTCCATGACTGCATTCATGTACACAGCTATGATTTAAAAAAAAAACCTGGACTTTTGTTTTCCTTGTCCTTTCTGCTGCATTTCCACTAACCATAAACCTCACATTCTTTTGGCTGAGCTTCTCCTTAACTGCTCTGTCCTCTAATTCTTTCGCTGGACCTCCTTTCTTCTTCTGTATAGCCAATTTGGGTAATTTGACCTTAGCTCTGCTCTATCTTCTCTACATTCTATTGATTGAATTATTTCTGTGTCTGTGTCTATTATTCTGTGTCTGCCAATGATTCCCAAATCTGGGTTAAAAATTCCAGGTTGTCCTTAGCTTTCCATCCCTCAATCTCCAAATGACTAGTAAACATTTCCATTTTGGCAGTGGTGTAACAAAAGTGGATACAGACACAAAGCAGGAGAGATCACAGGAAAGAAAAATCACAAAGTGTGTGACAAGAGGGTTCGCCAAGGTGGAAACAGCACTAGTTCTACACTAAAGACGATAGTCTACCAGAGGCTTTAGTGCAAAAGGAAAGCATGTCGACTCAAGAAGCTGAACAGAATGTGTCCAGAATAAAGAATCGATTCAGAAAAAAGTAGGGAGACAAGGAAATGCAAAGTTAGACTGAAGCTGGGAAGTGGATAGTCCTGAAAGCCTATACCAAAGTTTGTACAACTGCTACAGAGAATGGGGAATTATAAAAGATATTTAGGAGGGGACTTTATATAATTTAAGGAAGTGTAATCTGGTAAAAGGAGTGGAAGGAAAGACTCTAAGAGCTATTCGAAGTACTAAGCATCTGAACTAGGGTGCTAACAGTGGAAATTTAAAGAATAGAATGATGTGAGATAACATTATTATTAAATGAAATTACAGGAAAAACTTTAGGCAAAAATAAAGTTATTAACAAAAAATATATATAAGGTTAACAGTTTCCTTATCTTGCAACTAGGCAAAAGGCCTATTATTACGTTACACATTTTGAGTTAGTTTTTCCTCTCAATTTCTCTTGCATCATTATAATTTCTTCTTCTTTGTTACAAGTTTATTTTTATTTCATAAGAAGCAAAATCAATAAATTTTAAAATTCTATCTTGTACACCAGATCAATGAAGACTAGTAATGAAAACTTTAGTATTTTGTGAACATGAATTTGAACGTTTACCACCACCACCAAATGAGTGTGCTTTTAGACATAGATGTCACTGTTCATTGAAGATTTCAATAATGCAGTATATAATCTACCCCACCAACAAGCCTATGTTTTGCCAAACTTCAACTGTTATTTCCAGTACTTTGTGATTACACTGGAAGATGTACTAAATTACAGTGAAAGAAGAAGGAACTTTTTAACCAGAATTGAATCACATACAATACACACCATTTTCTATTCTTACTGAATACTGTTTTCATTTTAGTTAGGGTAACATGTGTATATTCCTTTATCACGCACAGATTTCATCTGAAAAATCAATGTAATCAATGTTTCTTACAACCAAAATGTCCTCACAATTTGGTTATTTTTAGTTTATAATAAATTTTTCAAATTTTGTAACTTAACAGCTATAAAAATACACACCTAATAAGTAGTATCATAGTGTATCCAGCTATGATAGTTATGTCATGCCAAAAGTCTCATATTATTATCTAATAGTAGTACTAGCATTGATGTTTTCCCGGAAGCAGAGGTGACCTGCTAAAAAATTAATTTCTTGAAGATGTATGTGTTCTTAAATGAGAAACTGTTATGACTCAAAAAAAAACAATTACTGATTAAATACTTACCACACTCAAATTGACAGGGGTATTTGCCTTTGGTACTGGGTGGTTATACAGTGATTTGAGAGTTTCATTCAAATCATTTTCCTACAGCAAAATAAAAAGTACATTTTATAAATAAAATATATATTGAACAAATACAGTTAAAACTACTTGATAAAATCATCCACTGTATCTTCCCACATTATACCTTTTTTATAAAAAAAAATTCCCACAGAAACATTTCTAACAATGGAAATTGAAGTTTTTTGAAAAGTTTTTTTTTTTTTTTTTTGAGAGAATAAGTCTCCCTCTGTTGCCCAAGTTAGAGTGCCATTGCGTCATCCTAGCTCACAGCAACCTCAAATTCCTATGTTCAAGTGATTTCCCTGCCTCAGCTTCTAGAGTGGCTTCTAGATTAGGCACCGGTCAATTCTTGTATTTTAGGTAGAGATGAGGTCTTGTTCATGCTCAGAGTGATCTCAAGCTCCTGAGCTCAAGCAACCTTCCTGCATCAGCCTCCCAGAGTACTAGGATTACAGCCGGGAGCCACTGTACCAGGCTAGAAATTGAAATATTTTAATCTAATAAATATGGAAAACTATTTAAACCCTTTTATCCAGAAGAATAATGGCAGTATTTGCATTTAGTATAAATATAGATTTAGAAAAAGTTATTATAAAACACACTAATATTACAAAAAAAAAATTATCTAAATCATTAAATCTAAAAACAATGAGACTGACTTAAAATATCAATAAAACTTTTTATCATATCACAGCGTTTTCTCATTCTTCATTTTCATTTTAAAATACCAAACCTAATTTTTAAGGACTAGATACAATTTAAGTAATGTATTACTATGCAGTGTAAAGGTTTTTCTAAATATTCTTTTTATGTAGCTACCGATTATGACTTGACCCATAATAAATGAGATTAAATAAAATATACCACAAATCCACTTTATAGGCTCTGTATAACAGTAATTTACCTAATCCCTGTATTATAGGACATATAGAATTACCTTAAAGTTACATATAATTATGGATTATCTGTGACACATTTCCTCCTTATCCATTCACTTTTACTAAATTTAAAAAACATATTGAAGTGTCATTTTTAGAGTATTACCAAACTATATGAATTACTATTTCTCTACCATATATATTACTATAAGGAACAATTCATTCTAAACAATTTCAATGTAGGATACTAATGGCAACTGATCTACTCCTGAAAGTCTGGGGCTTTGTTTCAAATTAGAATGTTAAAGAACATACAAAAGATTTTAGTTGATTTACCAAAATCATTAATTTTTATTCTTACAATAGCTTATTCTCAAATATAATCTGTTATCAATGTTTACCATAGTGCCTGTGTTAAAGCCACACTGAGCAGACAGTAAACTGTCTACTCTATACCAAATAACTGAACTCTACCTACCAAGGCTATTAGAACTCAAAATACGACACCCATGAAGGTGTTTTACTCCAGAGTCAGTTAAATTTTTTTAGAATACTGTTAGTTTTTTTAATAAGTTGAAAAAATAAATGATTCTATACTGAAAGGCTAAAAATAACTTTTTCCTATAGAAAAATTTAGGGTGATAAGAATGACGTTCTTTCTTACCATATCTCCATCTAAAAAGATTCCATCTATAATTTTGTCTATGATTCCTTTAAAGTACTGAGATACAGAATCTAGTTAATAAAATAGTCAACATATCTAGAGTTAGTTTCCTGTCATAAAATGGGGATCAAAAAAGTAAATACTAGAAACTTCCTAATATATTTATATTTATTCAACAACTTTTTACTCAATACCCATTTGCTATTGGAGATACTGAGATAGAACAGTTCCACCTCTTAACTATTACTTTAGTTGTATAAATGGAGAATTAAAAGCCAAAGTTAATCAGTGCTGAAAAGCCCCAACAAGCATTACTTAACTAAGGTTAGAGTCAAAAAAAAAAAAAAAAAGTATTAGAGTAGTATTTGTGTTGAATTTAGGTTTGTTTTAAAAATACCTAAAAATACCAATAATGATTAGTGAGTGATCTATAATCTCGATAGACACGAAGTAGAGTTGTGTTTTGGGAAATTTAAGTAGTTGAGAATAATTAGAGAGTACATTATGTGTAGGAAGGTAGGAGTAGATTAAAACAGAAAGACCAACAGCCAGATCATAAAGTTCTTATATGTCAGGCTACATAAAAGTTTAAATTTTATTCTAATAAAAAGGGAAGCTGTTGAGAGATTATAAGAAGTAGGGCAGAGCCTGTGGCTCACAAGAGTAGGGCGCTGGCCCCATATATCAAACCCAGCCCTGGCCAAAAAAAACAAACAAACAAAAAAAAAACCTGTAAAAGAAAAAAAAAATAGAATAATCTACTTTCAGAGAAAGTTCATTCTTGAAGATCAGAAAAAGGTGGTGAAAAAACAAAGAGTACATATAAAATGCCTGAAAATAATATCTAGAGAAAAGAGAATATACTAGAAGGAACATCAAAATTTATATGTAGATGAAGTGGAAAGGCCCAAGTTAGAGGCTGAGGACATAGTTTTCTTTTTAATGCAATGAGCAGTCAAGGAAAATATAGTTTTAAGACTGAGAGAGTAACTAAATAATAATTAAAACAGATAACCAGAAAATGAAAAAACATCTTAAATCTGAAAACTAGAAAACAATGGTCAAGTATAATGAATTTAAAAACATGTTTTACTTTATTCATTTTATTTATTTATTGGATAGAATCTCATTCCATTGCCCTGGGTAGATGCTGTGACATCATAGCTCACAGCAACTTCAAACTCTTGGGCTCAAAGCAATCCTCTTGCCTCAGCCTTTGGAGTAGCTGCAATTACAGGCAACGGCTATAATGCCTGGCTATATTTAGAGACAGGATCTTGCGTTTGCTCAGGCTGCTTTTGAACTCTTAAGCTCAAGTGATTCTCACCTCAGCCTCCCAGAGTACTGGGATTACAGGTGTAAGCCACCCTAACAGGCCTTTATTTTAAGTAAAATGCATCAAATTGCGCTGATAACATTTTATTAGAAACATCAAAAAATGACTAAAGGGACAATTTACAAAGTACTATGGCAGGAAAGTTAATTAAAAAGCAAACTTCCATTTCTGTATTATTTTTATGAAAAAAAGACATAAAGACTTAACTTTAAGATCTAAAATATTTTAGAAGAAAATAAGACAGTGGATTTGGCAAAGATTTCTTGGATATGACACCAAAAGCACAAGTAACAAAGAAAAAAAAACAAAGACCAAATTAGACAACCAAAATTTAAAACTTCTATGTATCAAAGGATGCCATCAAAAGAGCAAAAGGCAGACAACCCATGGATTAGAAGAAAATACTTGCCAATCATTTATCTAAAGGTATTAATACCTCCTACAATTCGACATCAGAAAAATAATCAGAATAAAAAAGGAGTAAAAGACTTAATCATTTGTCCAAAAAAGATATAAATAGCCAATAAGAACATGAAAAAATTCCTAATATCACTAAGCATTAGTGAAATGCATATCAAAACCACACCAATTAGAACACTATTATCAAAACAGAAATTTCTTTTTTGTTCCCCAGAAAATAACAAATGTTGGCAGAGTTGTGAAGAAATTGGAATCCTTGTATAAAATGGTACAACCACCATGGAAAGTGATATGGTCTCCCAAAAAAAGTGAAACGCAGAATTACCATATAAACTGGAAATTCTACAATGGTAGTTGGCAGGGCAGAAGGAAGGGGAAGAAATGGGTAGTTATTATTAAATGGGTACAGAGTTTCAGTTACAAGATGAAAAGTTCTAGAGATGCATGGATTGATGGGTGCAGAACAACATAAATTTATTTAGTGACACAAAACTGTACAATGGTTAAAATAGTAAATTTTATATTATGTGTATTTTATAATTTATAAAAAGGAAGGAAATAACCCATAGCATACCAGTTCCTTAGCCAAGTAATCTGCCAGAGTATTTAGAAGCTTATAATACACTTCAAACCATGGTAGGTAACTGTAAAAAAAAGAAAGAAAAATTCAAAAATACATTTATAAAAAATTTAGAATTAAGAAACAGACAGGCAAAATAAGCATTAAATTTAGTTATTTCAAACCGGTTAATGATGAAAGGTAGAAACGAATATACCCGTGTTCTCTTTACCTTTTCAGTGAAATTTTACATATAATTTTTATTAGTTTACATAAAACAAATCAGAATCCAAAGTTCTATCATAAAAGTTGTTCATTATATACTTCTCTATTAACAATAACTAATAACTTAATCCTATTTCACGATAACCACTAAAAGCACTCAAAGGATAAACGGTAACCACTGTAATAAGACAGTACCTAAAAACTAATTTTAAGAAGCTGTTAAAAGAAAAGATAAAATCATTTCTTTTTAAATGGTACTGAATGGAACAGAACTGTGTTTAGTCAATTCTTCAGAAATGACATTTAAATCAAATAGTAAATTCCAAAATAATAATCAACACAAATATAAGAAAGAGATGCTGGGACAGGGTGTTTACAACAAGCATGCTAACAACTTTGCATGGGAGCCTTGAAAAATCTGGATAGGTATGTGACACATTTGTGAAAACTTTGGGAGAATCAGAAAATCAGAAATTATCAGTCATTCTAAAAAAATAATGACAATTTTAAATGATTTTTAGATACCGAAACCAAATATAATTTAAATCTATCTTAATTCATTTTGTTAAAGTACAATTAATTTTGATGAAAACTGAATAGTAAATCCAAATACAATTTGTATAAATAAAAACAATATTTAAATTTAATGTTAGTATATTTAAAACCTGTCCAAAGATTTTAATGTTTATTAAAATTTTCACTTTTCATAGAGAAAAACAATAAATCAAAAACACATAAATGCTGTTGATTATCAATTAACACTCATTTTAAGTACAACAGGCTATTTCTAAGACAAAATATTATAATACTTTTACTACACAGTTGTATGCAGATAAGTGTATATACATAAAACACTTTAAAATATAAAATCAACAAAGCTTAAAAACAGGACTCTATTGGGATTTTTTCATATAATATCTCATTTATTACTGACTATAAACGATGCTTTTTGAATCAAAAGCAACCTAAAGCCATAACAAAAGAAATTACGTAAACCATCATCTTTTTACTCAGAATATTAGAGTTTGTTAAAATGTTAATTACAAATATTAACTAATGCTATGAAAATTTTCTATTTGCTTGGTGCATTAAATGCATGTATTTATCTCTGTGCCCTCTGGAAATACCATTAAAACGTCACTAAATGAAGAAGCGTTGTATAAATTAATGAGGGCTGAGAAGCAGAGGAAAAAACAGTAGCAACACAGGTGAGTGATTTTGTAAAGACGGTGAGCAAACAGTGACAACTGACACAGGAGAAGAGAAGACACCAAAACCAAAATGTCAACAAAAAGCAAAATGAGCAGTAGATACTCCCTCCACAGGATTCTGAAATACTGATTTAAGAATATCTCAAAGGAAAAAGCACCTCAAAGTCCTATGTTCTTGGAGTGAAAACTACCACAGCACACACAGCGTTTCCTGTTAGGTTTAAGACCTGCCTCTTGGTTATAAATCAACAACCCAGTCATCAGATATTTGAGGAAACACAGACATAAATATGTGTTTGTACTGAATAAAACCTAAAAAGAACAAGTAAATACAGACAATAGAACAGCAGAAGAGAATTTCAACACTTTACATCTATAGGAGCTGAACAGAGAGCAGGATGCTAGTAAACCAAACTAAATAAAAATAAAAGTGAAAAAAGAAATTATTGGAGAACAATAAAGAACTCTTAGAAATCCTGACAGCTGAAAAGCTAAAATCAATATAAAGGTTAGATGATAACTTGTGAAAATCTCCCAGAAACTAGAAAACAGACAAATAATGAGACAAAATATTAAAATCTCAGGGCTATCATGTAGTTGACTAACAGTATTTCCAAAAAGAAAGAAAAGAGAGATGAAAAGAATTAAAGTTTTATTTCTAAAATTTACTGGAAAATTCCCCAGAATGTCAGACATAAGTCTCCAGACTAAAAGGGCAGCTGAATGAACAGCAAACAGAAGGAGACCAGTCAGAGTATCTCAGTGAAAAGTCCAGAACAGGGTATAGAAAAGTGTCTAGAAGTTTCCAAAGAGACCAAAAAAGTAACATACAAAGGGATCAAGTTCAAAATCCAATGAACATCTTCAAGGTGATACCACAAATTAGAAGATAATACCTTCAAAATACAGAGGTTAAATTTCTTTACACCCAAGAATTCTACATCAGAGAAATTGTTAAGTGTAAAAACAGGACAACAGCATTTTCAACCATGCAAGGACATTTCTAAGCCAATTAGACTTCAACAAAATGAAGGAGACCAAGAAGACAGTGGACAGGGATGTAGGAGACCAGAAATCTAAGAACACAGAATGGTAAAGTTCAAGGTTAAGAGCTGTGCAAAGGCCTAGAGAAAAACCAATACAGACTGAAAGAAAAACAAAAACTTCAGGAAAGAGATGCTGGGACAGGGTGTTTACAACAAGCATGCTAACAACTATGTATGGGAGCCTTGAAAAATCTGGATAGGTATGTGACATATCTGTGAAAACTTTGGGAAAACCGGAAAATCAGAAATTACTATTTGTAATCTCAATTTTCATACTTAAATTACTGAACTCTTTAAGCCCTAGTATTTAGCTGACTATTCTACTATATATATCTTCCATTTACAAAAACATTAAAAAAAAATCCTTAAAGATTACTAATACTATTTTTAAATTGTCAACTCAGTGTAATGCAAATTATATACATCACGGTTTCTCTATTCACTACAACTCAAAGAAATAATTTTCATAGAGACTATCCTTCTACCAAGACATGATAGTTCCTTAGTTAGGTTGTCAATTTCATTTGTAGTCATTTCATACTCACATTTCAATTTCTAATGGCCTGAAGAAATTACTATTTTCAGACAATTTCAATGTGTCATGTAGCTCAAACCCTCTAAGTTCAGATAAGATGAGATCTACCCTGTTCAAGGAATATGCTAGTCTATTTCTGTCCTACTCTCGAGGAGCTTCGGATAAAGCAAATTTACTGATTTTAGGTGGCTGTATATCTCTCTGCCTTTTAATGCTTATGTTGTTATTTTCATCTTACTAAAATAATTTAAGTTCCTATTAACCTTAATTAGTACTTCCTGGTCCACTATAAGAATAAAAAATATAATATACCAAGGATGCCAAAAAATGTATACACATTTTAAGAAAGGAAAAAACTGTATTAAAACCGCAATAATATATGCCAATAACAAAAGATGAATACAAGTTTTGAGTACCTCTTTTAACTGCAGGAGTCAAATGTGACTTCAATATTATAATTTTAATACAGTTTTTTCCTTTCTTAAAATGTGTATACATTTTTAAGTACCCTCTGTATATCTCATAATTATGTTATCACAAAGGGAAAAACATTTGTCATTCTAGATTATATATACTAACACTCCTTTAAATGTTCTTGTTTTCAGGTGGCGCCCTCGCTCAGTGGGTAGGGCGCCCGCCACATACGTTGAGGCAAGTGAGTTCGAACATGGCCCAGGCCTGCTAAACAACATTGACAACTGAAACAAACAAAAACCAGCCTAATATTGTGGCGGGCACCTGTAGTCTCAGCACTTGGGAGGCTGAGGCAAGAGAATTGCTTAAGCCCAAGAGTTAGAGGTTGCTGTGAGCTGTGATACCATAATACTCTATTGAAAGTGACATAGTGAGACTCTGTCTCAAAAAAAATAAAAAATAAAAAAAGGTTCTGGTTTTCTCATTTTTATATTTTTTTCCCATAGGTTATCTTTCCTTTTCAACTGCCTTTCAAATTATAAAGACAAATAAAAACCCAATTTTTCACTGAGAAGCTAATTTATGCAAATAAATATACTTTACCTACAAGATGATTTACTTATTGAATAATTGATTAAAATATGCATATTTAGAATATCTTTACAAATTTAACAGTTCTTATTTGTTAGACATTTTGGTATACATATAATTATTACTTTTTTAAAAATGCCCAAGAGTATTACTTATTTTCATAGATGACAACTATATCTTCATCTATAAATTAGATTAATACTATTTAGAAATAAGCATTACCCATATAAAATATTTCTCATAGCCATCTCTAAAGCCCCAAGATACTTTATTAATTCTATCTGGGAAATATAATTTACTAGTAAATGATTGGCCCATTCGGGAGTTAGAGAGTAGAATCTAAGAATCACAGAATCTATGTGCTAAAATAACTGAAAGTATAGGGAATAAAACTTCCTGAGCACTAAGAGTATGTAGTACAGTATGCTAGGTACTTTCTGTGTGTTTTCTTTTTTTCTTTTTTTTTTTTTTTTTGAGACAGAGCCTCAAGCTGTCCCCCTGGGTAGAGTGCCGTGGCATTACAGCTCACAGCAACCTCCAACTCCTGGGCTCAAGTGAGTCTCCTGCCTCCGCCTCCCAAGTAGCTGGGACCACAGGCGCCCGCCACAACGCCTGGCTATTTTTTGGTTGCAGCTGTCATTGTTGTTTGGCGGGTCCGGGCTGGGGATTCAAACCCACCACCTTAGGTGTACGTGGCTGGCGCCTTAGCCGGTTGAGCTATAGGCGCCGAGCCTGTGTGTTTTCTTACTTGTCACAATAATGCTTTGATATGTATGTTACTAAACTAAGGTAAAGCAACTTATCCAGGGACAAAAAGCTACCAAATAGAAAGCATGGGATTAGAACTCTAATCACTGTGATTGAGTAATATGTGCTCAGGGGTCTACCACAGACCCATCATCCAATTTAGGCATATTATTTGTAAAATACCCAGCCTTTGAATAAACATGTCCAATAACCAGACATTATAAAATAACCGGATAAACTGTGAAAAAAGCATATTCTGGTTTAATCTTAAATCAGACTAGTTATAATTTCTATCAACTGAAGCAAATTCCATCCT